TTTTTTTTTTTTTTTTTTTTTTGTACCAGGGATTGAACTTGGGCCCTGTGCTTGCAAGGCAGCCATCAGAACCACTGAGCTAAACCCCCGGCCCATTAGTCTCTTTTGAAGGAGATGTTGGCTCTGCCTTAATCTTCCTTCCTTTGATGGCCTGTGTTTCCTTGATGTTCAATGGGAACAGAATCCTGACTCTTAGAGGAGTAGAACAAATCACTTCTGAAGAGTAGGATCTTGGGCTGGGGGTATAGATCAGTGGTAGGGCATTTGCCTACCATGCAGGAGGGCCTGGATCCCTGGGTTCCATCCTCAGCAGCACAAAAGGAGAAAAAAAAATTGGAGTCTTCTCAGGCTCTATCCATCTCACTTCCTGCTTTTCCACATCGCCATACTTTTCTCCCCAAAAAAGGGAAAATTTTTTCTTTTCCTTTCTTTCTTTTTTGGACAGGGTCTCTCTATGTAGTTCAGGCCTTGAAATCACTATGTAGCCCAGGCTGGCTTCAGACTCAGAGTGATCCTCCTGCCTCAGCCTCCTGAGTACTGGAATTGCAGGCATGTGTCATGACCTGTTAGGGGAGATTCTTTACCCGTCATAAATCAATCTTTCTCTCTCTTTCTTTTTAACAGAGTTGGAGGTTAGAGTTTTTCCTTAGGAGTCTGCATGGGCCACTCACCCTAGGCCTGCCTTTCCAACTACTAAGGCTATCAGGGAAGATGGCAGGTGTAGGTTCAATCAAAGAATATGGGACAGGAGTTGGCACTATGCTCAGAAGGGCAATGAGAAAAGGAGACATGGGGAAGTATTATACTGTTCTACTAGGAACCCAAACCAATGATTTCTTCCCCGAAAGTTATGCTTTGGAGGCCTCTCCCATCAGGGTGGCCTCCAGGCAAGAGTGTCCTGGATAGAAAGAATTGTCTTCTAGCCACCCACTATCCTCCCACCCTCATAAGCAGCTAGGAATGGAGACAGCTGAAGTGGTTGAAAGCAATCAGAATCTGATGAAGGATATGCTTCTACCAGACACCCTCCACGAGTGCAGAGGCCTGCTTTTGTGAGTTCTTTGGTACCTCAGAGGTGAATGGAATGAGATCAAAATAGAAATGACATCCAGTTCCACCAGTTCTTTAGTGATAGGCCTTCTGGATGCAGAGAGACTATTCTTGCCAGGGCCCCACCACAGGACTGAAGACTAGGGTGGGCAGGAGGATGTGGCGGATGGTGTTGCCATGGCACCACTTCCTCCCTGTGTTGTCATCACTTGCTCTAATGGCACTAAGGAGGTAGAGCGGAAGGTGTGTGTGGGGGGGAGACAGGAACAGGAACATGGGGAGGAGAGGGGACCAAAGAGAGTCCTGGGGACCTCTCTGCACTTTGTTTGTGAAAAGCATGATGTTTAAATGTTAATGTGTGCCTGGGAGCCTGAGGTTCTCTGCATGTGCGTTCTCTCTCTCCCTCCCTCCCTCCGTCCCTCTCCCTCCTCTCTCTCTCTCTCTCTCTCTCTCTCTCTCCTCTCTGTCTGTCTCTCTCTCTCTCTCATTTCTTTCTGCATCTGGAGAACAAGAGGTCACTGATCCTAAGTGGGGCCTGGGAATGAACACAGTCCCAGAACCTCCTGCCCCAGACTGCTTCCTGTTCTGGACTCCCTAGGCAGGGACCGTATCTACCATGGGTCTGTCACAACCCGTCTTCCCCATGCTTAACCATTTCTCCATTGCCAAGGTCAGCTAAACAGTGACCTGTATTTTGTTTTCCTGGGAGAAGGATCAGGATTTGGGGAAAAAAATAATACCTATGTCTTTTTCCACCCTCCCCAAATGTATTCTTCCTCAGAGTCCCAGCTCCATCTTGGGGACTAGGAAGTATCTGAGAAATGGCATACAACACAGCTAGCCCATCTGTGCCCCTGCTGGTCCCCAATACACCTAAGCTGGAGGCTGATCTTTCTCTTACCTCGTATGCTGTCCAGTGAGGCCTGGATGCTTTCCCGGAGATCAGGGTCACTCACTCGTTCTGCCAACTTCCTGAGGCGGCTTAGAGCCTGCTTGGCCACCTCATGTCGTCTGATTTCTGCTCTCACTGTGGCTACAGCTAACTGCCTCTGGGCATGCATGTTGCCCAGACCTGTCTTGCCAGACTAACAGCAACTTCTGGCCTTGAAGCCCATGGCCCCACAGACCCCAAACCCCAGAAGGCCCTTCTGCTGTGCCCCAGAACTCGATGCTCCAGAACTCTCCACCGCAGCCCGCCCTTCCCCCTTCCGTCTGTCAGACTCACTTCCTGACTGGTGAGTTTCAAACCCACAGCCTGGGACAGAACTACCTACTGCACCTCACACCCCCTCTAGTGTTGGCCCATCCACCTTTTCTGCCAGGCCCTGCTATGATTCCCCAGCTAGGTGGAAGAAGAGACAGACTTTAACAAAGTCCCAGGGCCTCCTGTGGGAGGTGGCTAATTAAGATGGGTGTTGGTTCTGGGAGAATGTGTCCAGCCAGGTCTCACATACAATCCCAAACTCTGGGGAGATCTGTAAATTTGCATAGTTAGAAACACACAGGAATCCATACACACTTGATCTATTACCTCACAGCCCTGTATTGTGTACAGCTGTACTCACCACTATACACCTGCCACTGAGCCTTGCATACTTGTGTCTTGCATTACCACCCTTCCTTAGCTATCCTCCTCCTCTTTAAAAGGCCTAATTAGTTGTGAGGAGAATGAGTTATGGAGGAGGAAAGTAACCTATGACCAGATAAAACTACCACACTCTATGTTCATTGCTTTTATAATAATTAGCATGTATATAACATTTACTCATTTATAATATATTTCCATGTATATTACCCTTTTGATGGGCCCAAGGGGTAGGATTATTTATCCTTCTTATGAAGAAAAGGAAACCGAGGCACAGAGAAGCCAATAACTGGTGAAACAAAGACATGGATCCAGGTCTTCTGATACAGTTTTAATTTTATTTATTTATTTTTTATTTTGGTACTGGGGATCAAACTCAGGACCTTGCGCTTGTTAAGCAGTCCACAGAACCACTGAGCTAAATCTCTGGCATAAATTCTTATTTTTTAAGACAAAGTCTCACTATGTAGTTCAGGCTGGCCTTGAACTCACTATGTAGCCAATTACAATGTTAATACCTTTTTCAGGGCCGGGGATTTAGCTCAGTGGTTGTGCTGCCTTCCTTGAAAGTGCAAGGTCCCGAGTTTTATCCCTGATACAAAAAAAACAAAACAAAACAAAACAAAAAAACAAAAAAACATTTTTCAGTAAAAACAAAACCAAGATACTTACCACACAGCCTTCCTTCTCCCTAAGATCAATTGTCTTGCCCTCAATTTAGGACCTGAGAGCAAAGAAAGTAGATGAGGTAGAAGGAAATGGACATTGTGGGGTAGAATCAGAAGATGTACTTGTAGTTTGACTTAATTATTTTGTTTCAAGGCTTGAACCTCTCTAGGTCTGCCAAATTTCTCTTCTGCTTATCTTGATAGTAATCAGGAGATTATAAATATGTGAATGTGTAGTTGGGAGACAAGGAAATGAGGCTGAGATTATCCACTGAAATCTGTAAGGTTGCCTGAACAGCAATACCTATCATTGAGTATTTCTGTGCCAGGTATTGTTCTAAGCATCGTATATATGCTAATCATTTATTCCTCCTAACAACCCAGAAGTTGTTAGAGGTGTATTGTTAGAGGTAAGTATACTATGAATCCCCATTTTACAGATGAAATAGGCACAGAGAGTTTTAAGTATCTGCTTCTAGTGGGAGGCAAAGCTAGAACCCACGCTGTCTGATTCTAGCAGTAAGACTATACTGCTAAGGCAGCCTTAGACTCTAAGTACACACAAATGAGTCATTCTTTGAGGTCAGTGCAGGGTTTCTTTTTTTGTTCCAAGACTGCTTCTTTCTCCTAGGAGAGAGAGGGTTTACATCTTTCCCCACTCTCATGAAGAGGGTAGACTGTCAAAGCACTTATGCAATAGTAAACAGTTGCAGTATTGATCAACCACCATGCCCACCTCTGGAGTGAAAATGTAGACTCCTCCTCCTTGTATTTGTATCTCTGACCATTTGGGTCAGTCTTTGCAAGCTAGAGGTCAAGCATATGATCTGAAGATGCTGAGCAAGTGCGTGTGTGTGTGTTTGTGTGTGTGTGTGTGTGCGCGTGTGTGTACCTGTGGCTTTGTCACAAAGACTTTGCCGACCCGAGGCCGCTGTACTCCACACTGTATTTCTGGCATATGGGATCTAGAACAGAATGTGTACTGGTGGACACAAACGTGTGGATTTTGCGTGTTGCTATGCCCAACCCAGAGCCTCTGCGGTCGGGTTGAAGAGCTCAAAATTCAGTTCCTTTGGGTATTCCCGAGTGTGACACAGTAACAACCAAGCGATGGCGTCATCGTCAACATGAGGTCACCAAGGGACAAGGGGAAGAGCCCTCCTTCTAGGGGCGGAGCCCTTCCTGTCTAGCCCAGGAGGCCCTCTTTCACGGCCAGAATTCAGGGCCTTCTACAGAGCTGTATCTCCAGTCTTTTTTATTCTTTGAGACGGGGCGAGGGGAGGTGTCGCTAAATTGTCCAGGTAGGACTTCAACTTGCGACCCTCTGGCCTAAGCCTTCCAAGTGCTGGGATTGCAACGCCACGCTGGGTTACTCCACTTGAATATCTCTATTGCCACCTCCCTGGGATTAGCTCCCTACTCCAGTGTAGAAAGCTCGGTTTTCAATCCGGGTTTCTAAAATTTAGGCTCTGCGCGGCTTGAGAACGTCTAGAAACCCTACCCCCAGGTTTAATTTCATCCAAAGAAAAAGTAAGGGAGGGGCCAGGAGGCGGGCCCGTGACGTAATGTGGATTGACTGGCGTTCAAACCAGTGACATCCTGGATTATCCATGAGTTTCGCCAATCCAGAAGCAGGGGTGGGTCGGTGCCGACGCCTGGAATTGGTTTGGCTAGCCTTGATTTAAAGAGACAGAAGCTGCCGCGGTCTTAGGAGACCATCCCCAATACCATCCCCCGCCCCCCCGAGTCCTTGGGACCAGTTGGGTCCCCAGAGCTGGGGAAATGGTTTGTGGTGGCTTTGCCTGCTCCAAGAATGCGCTGTGCGCTCTCAACGTTGTCTATATGGTGAGGTTTTGGAGGTGGGGAAGGGTGGAAAGGCGAATGGGGAGAATCTCCAGGGGACTTCCGGCAGGGAGAAGGGTGTACTGGGGGTTCCGGCAAGATTCCTAGGAACTTCCGGCAAAGAGGGGATTCCTGGGGACTTCCGTGGAAAAGGGGAGACTTCCGGTGATGGGGGGGGTTGTCTGGGGTTAGGGGACTTGAACTGAAGGCTGTGGGCATAAATCGCATCCTCATCATATGAACCAGTTTTTTCCCAAAAAAGCGATGGACTACGCTAAGGGTTTTCTGATTGTATGTTTGGAGACTGTTGACTCTGCCCCCCCATTCCAGCCGTTCCGACTTCTTTTGAGAAGACTGATCAAGGATATTCCTAGTTCTGATCACACCACCCTCATTTACACCCAGATCTCATCCCGTTTTGCCAAAGTTCCTTTGTATTAGCTTCTGATGGTGCAGCATGCTACAATTCTTTGAGATACACCCTGTTTCTGTTTCCTGTAGCTGGTGGGCTTGTTGCTCATTGGAGTGGCTGCTTGGGGCAAGGGCCTGGGTCTGGTGTCTAGCATCCACATCATTGGAGGAGTCATTGCTGTAGGAGTCTTCCTTCTCCTCATCGCAGTGGCTGGATTGGTGGGTGCTGTCAACCATCACCAAGTCCTGCTATTCTTCGTATCCTGACCTGAAGTCATAGGACACTGGGGCTCTTGAGAGGGATGAGTTATTAGGAAGAAAGGGTAGAGGACTTAAAGGATCTTGGGGACACATCTTGTTGCCCTGCCCTATCTACAAACCACAGCTAATGATTTGTTCTCAACTTGACATGGTTGTGATTGCTATGCATATGAGACCTGTTGATTATTTTAAACGGAGGATAAGGGAATCTAGGTGTTTTTTCCCTAACTCTCCTGCTCAGTACATGATCATCCTTGGTCTGGTCTTCATCTTCCAATTTGGAATCTCTTGTTCATGCCTGGCTATTAACCGCAGCAAACAGGTAAGGGTATTCCCTTTTAAATACCTGCTGTACCCCACCCCTCCTGGCCAGTTCCCTCTTAGTCTAACTACCCCAAATCATCCCTAGGTCTACTCCAGACTTGAGCCATTTGCTTCCTCTGGGACGTATGGCTAATACTTCATGAAGATGATGTAGAGGGAGAACCTGAAACAGCACTAATCATTGTCTGTAATTGCAACATACCATGTTTCTGAGATGTTGTTTGCTATAACAGGGAAACAGGCAGTTGAACTGAGATCGGGATGTAGGGACGTTAACTTCCCACTATGTATGTCCTCTAGACAGATGTCATCAATGCTTCTTGGTGGGTCATGAGCAACAGTACCCGGCATGAACTGGAAAGAAGTTTTGACTGTTGTGGCTTGTTCAACCTCACAACCCAGTACCAAGATGATGCTTCCTGCAATGCAGTGAGTTGGGAGGTGGGGGAGCACAGCAGAGGGGAAGGTAGAAAACTAAGGTCAATATGCCATATTGGCAGATTTAATTTGAATGATACTGCTTCTCAAGCAGCTCTTGTGCTGATACTGTTGGTGGGAGCTGGGATGATTGAGAATGGGGATCTGACCAAGTGAGAGTTCAGTCTGTAGAATACTGGTCAGACTCTAGTAAATAACTTCTAAGGGTAATTCACTGTAATTATCTGTACAGGAGAAGCTAACAATTTTGCATTTTTTATACTTTTCATTCTCAGCTCTGCAAGAACAGAAACTACACATGCCAGATGTGCGGAGAAAAGTTTCTTAAACATTCAGATGAAGCCCTGAAAATCCTAGGTGGTGTTGGACTCTTCTTTAGCTTTACAGAGGTAACATTCTCCAGGTCCCTCATGCACACCTTTTGTCAACCTCCCTCCCAGATTTAAAATTTGCCGTCTCTCTCTCCCTTTGTTTCTACAGATCCTCGGTGTTTGGCTAGCAATGAGATTTCGGAATCAGAAGGATCCTCGAGCTAACCCCAGTGCCTTTCTATGAGACTTTGGGTCCTTTTAACTTCCCTGCTGTCATCTTATTTCTCCTTTAAGGAAAACCTGGAGTCTATATCCTTTTTTGTTTGAGAAAAAGGAAAGGCCCTTTGTTCCATGCTGTAAAATTGACTGGTTAGGGCTTGACATATTTTGATGGGAGTAAGATTGTAGGGAATAGAAAGAAAAATTTCATCCCTCCTTCCCATGTGGATATGGACAGTTAGTGCCTGGGAATACATGGACAGGGGCTGGAGTCATTCATAGCTGTTTCCCTTCTACATGCCAGACCACCTCAGCACACCTGGCCTGGCTCCAAGGATCAATAAGGAACACAGCCCAGAAAACTACCAAGAATTGTTAAAATATGTGGGGCCCAGTTTGAGGAAGTTCAGAGAATATAAAAATAAAACTCATTTTAGCTCCATAATCAAATAAGCACCTTAAGTTTCTTTCTAATCTTTGCCAGTTGGGGGGCTCCACTGACTGCCTAGGCCCTGTGTATCTTAGGGAGTCTTTAAGGTTCTACAGAGAAGTTCCTCCTTTTAAGTAGTCTGTCCAATCTCCCAAAGGCAAGGCCAATGAGAGAAACATTAAAAGAAAGAAAAAGACCACACCTCTTTGTCTTGTTTTGTTTTCCTGTATAAAAAAGGACCAGTATCAAGGTAAGGTGGGGGAAGGGATATTCCCCTTAGTGTAGAGGAACGGGGCATGAGAAGGATAAGCCTCAAAAGGAGGGTGGGTGGGGAATGTTATTAAGGCAGCAAAATATTCTCTGTAAAAAGTTGCAGGAGTGCCACAGCCTCAGAGACAAGGGCAGAGGTCCCCTTCTCAGTGGGGGTTCTCTCCACTCAAGTGTCCAGGAGGGAAATGGCAGCTTTTCTTCCTTCTGTGGCAGCCACTCCACTGCTCACTCTGGGTCACCTTCTTCCTTATGTAGGTAAGAGTGCTGCAGGGCTCGGAAGGCAGAGATTCGCTTGTGTGGGTTAAATGTCAGCATTTCCTAAAGGGAGAGACAAGGGTCAGAAAACGGGGGGGGGGGGCCTTCTGCGCACATCTATAGTACCGGGGAAGGCCTATTTTCTACATTGCTCTCTATGGTAGTCATTCACAGCAGCAATAAAAACTGCAGCCCATCCACCAAGCAGGTCTCATGAACTAGTGGTCTGGGCCCTTATGTGCTACTTAACTCCATTCTCCATCCCAATCCTGCCCCATGCCCATGCCTAGTACCAGCAGCAGCTGTGCTCCAGACTCCTCCATCTCCGGTACCACTGACTGCACTGGGCGAGGCCCTCTGGGGGAAAAGGCTCCTCGGGGTAAAGATACATCTCGTGGCCAGTCATCCTCTGGAGGCAGCCCAATCAACCTGTGATGAAGACAGGAGAACTCTGGTCAGGTGGGTCCTCTGGCTGCCGCCCCCAGGACTGGATTCAGCTGCTACCCAAGACCCAGCAGAAACAGGACTCAGAATGGAAGACTCCTTTCCCCCTTCTTGGGGACTTACTCAAAGATTTTGCCCAGCTGGTCAGCTTCAGAGTTTCCACAGAAGAGAGGCCTAAAGAGAGCAAGGGTACAAGATAGCAGTTATTTTCCAAAATAACTGGTTGTGGGCAAGGTAGTGGGTATTACTCAAGTAAAAGAATGGGCAGGGTATGCAGGTAGCTCATGAATAGAGATTGGGGACTCAAGATGGTTTAGGGTTTTGCGTCCCATACTTTCGACGAAACATCTCTGCAAAGATACAGCCGACGCTCCACATGTCCACAGGTGTTGCATATGTAGACTGCAGAAGAACTTCAGGAGCCCGGTACCAGAGAGTAACCACCTAAAAGGGAGGAGTAAGGGTAGATGAGGGGCATCCTGGTTACTATGAATCATAACTGCTTAACTGAAGACATAAAACACAAGACTTCGCAACTGCTTTGGGCAATCACTCTCCCACCCCCAACCAGAACCCATTTGGTTACCATCTTTTCACTAACCACTGGTGTAAGGGCCATCTGGTAGCTGTAGATTCTGGCTAAGCCAAAGTCAGCCAGCTTGACTGTCCCACCACTTGTCACCAGAATGTTCTCTGGTTTCAGGTCTCGGTGAACGATGCAGTTGGCATGAAGAAAATCTAGGCCTCTTAGAAACTGGCGCATCAGATCCTGGTTTGTAAGGGAGAGGTATGGACTCAAACAGAACTAGGCACCATGTCAGAAACTAAGCTATACTACAAAGGTCCTATTACACTTCTCACTACCTACCCCACTTACCTTGATGGTTTCAACTGGCAAGCCTGGTGGAGGTGCCTTGTCCAGATATGTCCTTAGGTCTTGGTCTACATGCTCAAACACTAGAGTCACCTTGATCTCCCGGTCAGTTCGGGAAGTGGCACAGACATCCATCAGCCTGGTCAGAATTAATGATCACTCATTGTTCAGTCCTCTTTGATCCAACATGGTCTCTTATACTGAATTTCCTTAGGGTAGTCTCCACTTCTCTCGTGACCACACAGACCACTTAACAGGTTATCTTTTTCCCGCAACCCCACTGCCAACCCTCCACCTTCTCACCGGACAACATTGGGATGCTCGAACGCCTCCAGCCGCCTTAGTAATGCCACCTCACGTACTGTGCTGATGGGTAGGCCTCCTCCAGCTCCTCCTGCATTGGGGACTCTCACACTCTTGAGGGCCACAAAGTGGCCACTGTGGGGATCACGGGCCTTGTACACGGTCCCATAGGCACCCACACCAATTTCAGCCACTGGCTCATATCGAGAGGTAGCCATTCTCAGATCAGGGGAGACCCTATAATCAGAGAGGCTTCCATTACCAAAAAGTTCCTTCCAGAGTTATGACAGAACGAGCCTGCAGCACCAAAGTGACTCCCACAGAAAACAGCAAAGACACCACACCCTTTTCAACTTTCAAGGGGCTGTCCCCTCAGGTAACACAATGACTCTACTACTACCAACCCACCCCAGCCACATTAAGTCCTAAAGAAAAAAATGCTTTTTTCTTTTGGAACCACTGCAGCCCCACGAGAGATCGCCCATAACACGACTTGCATCAAAGTTTCTATACCCTAGTCTCTAAAATTACACCTCTCCACACTACAAAGGCCCCTTTTCCCGCCTTTAGGCGACCCTTCCATAGCCAGCCTGAGGCGCACGCATGGGAAGCCGTGGGGAGCGGGGATTAGTCCTCGTTCCAGGGAAGGAGCTGTACTTACCTCACGCCAGGCCAAGAGCTGAGGGGGCAGCCCGTTATAGGGGCCCCGGAGCTGGTTCCAGCGGCGCCATACACCCGAGCTCGGCCCCGGGCAGCTGGACTCTACGGGCCGGACCATAGACACAGGCCGCAGGCTAGAGAGGCCCCCTCACCCCCACCCTCACCATGTGACCAGCTGCCAGAGAGGCGCGCGGAAACTGGGGGGCGGGGCGAGCGCCGGACGTTCGGAACACGTGATCACCAACCATGCGCAGAGGAGAGGTCGGAGCAGCTTTGACAGGGAGGGGAGCAGTGAGTGGAGGGGCGGAGGGACCCTGGCGGCCACGTGATCTGTTGCTATCACACGTGACTAAGGGACTTAGCTCGGAGGAACAGAGGTGTGGTTACGCAGTGGCACATGTGACTGCCTGCCACAAATGAGGCTGCGCGGGCAGGGTGGGGGGAAGTGGGCGCGAGGAAGGGTGGAGCCCAAGGCGGTACCATAGCAACCAGGGCCACCCATCTGCCAACTCTCTCAGCCTGAGCGTATCTCCAGTCTCACTATTTGTCTCTCAGTCTCCCTATATTGGCAGCGAAGAATTGGGGTGGCAGTCACAGTGAGGGTGAGGGGTACTAGAGGCGGCACCATCACCTTTTTGCTCCATTGTCGTGGAAAAACATGTTTTCATTTGTGTCTTTCACTCATTCATTCAAAAGAATTTTGCAAAGTGCTTCCAGTTTGTGTGGGGTTTGTTTTTATTTTGGGGTTTCGGTCGCTATCCCTTTGAAATAGCGATAAGGCCATCTATAAAGATGTAGTCAATAGTGTGGTCTTATAAAACAGTAGACAATGATTATCTGAAGACAACAATAGGATCAACAGATGCACAGGCTGGGCATGGTGTCACATGCCTGTAGTTCCAGTACTTGGGAGTCTGAGGCAGGAGAATCATCGTGAGTTCAAGGCCAGCCTGAGCCTCATAGCAAGACCTTGTTTAAAAAAAAAAAAAAAAAGACAGAAGGAAAAATAATACAGCATTCCAACCGGAAGGTAATGGCTTCCCTTCTTCCTACTTCCAAACCTCGGTCAGGGCCTTAATGCACAGACCAGGTGCCACGTGATACAAGTTAGTGATGAGCAAGAGACAGAAGTACATGAGCTTAAAGGTTCTTTTTAGTAGTAAGATTCTATGATATGTGTGTCATGTCAAATGGAAGGAAGGTATTCACCCCCAGACCACTACATTGTATGAGGATGACTTGTGACCCTGCAAAATTCTTGTGATTCACTGAAGGTCATTGTGCTTTCTTTTCCCACAGTGTAGCTTCCTTAGCTCTCATCTGTCTAGAACAGCTATTTCTAAATGATTTTGTTCACAGATATCTAGGTAGACAAAGGGAGATTTTTCTGGTTTTCCTTGTCTAATTGGCTCCAAATTCTTTATCATGCCCCAGTTCTTTGGCAGTGGAGTAAGGGATTACTATTTCATTTCTGAGAAATTGTCTACATTCTGAAGCCATTTAAAATGATTTCTTTTTGGCACTGGAGATCAAACCTGGGGCTTGTGCATCCTAAGCATTTGCTCTACCTCTGCCCTACACCTCCAGCTGTAGAATCTGAAACCATTTTATTATCCTGTTGCTACTTCTTCCATCCTGTTTTATCTGGCTAAGAATGTGAAAGTTCACACTTGAAGATATATATAAATTATTACTCAGGGCAAAATGGAAGACACGTTGGCAGCTATTTCATTTTTTTCGTTGATACTTGTAGGTCTGAGCCCTTGCTGGCAAGAGTAGCTGGGACACTAGAAAGAAAACCTGCAGGCCTGAATTGGCTAAGGGGCTGGAGCCGTGAATATTTTATTGGCTGGCTACCTTGCTAGGGCTGGTTTGTGAACCTTCTGGAAGGCTAAGGTTCTGTAAGTTTGTCATACTCCTTCCTACACCAGTAGCTCTCACCTCACCTTTCACAAACCCACTGCAGCTGTCTTCTGAACAAAAGCCATGCTCTGTCTGCTTGCGTCCCAGCCCCTTTTTGATTCATTCACTTGTCCATCCAAAACATCTGAATGCTTCATAAAAACATTACTGTCTCTTGCCTATCGCTATTAAGGAGCCTTGTTTTAGCAGTCTTTGGCTCTATCCCCTGCCTTCTGTTAATTACTTTTTTAGTAATTAATTTTTCCCAGCCTTTTTGACCCAGTGGGGGTTCCCTGGAATCCCTTGTCCCTCTGCTTTGGCAAAGGGGATGACAGGGAGGATATAAGTGTAAGGCAGGAAAAAATGTAATGGGCCAGGTAGAACTGGCTCTCAGGGTCAAGGCCCTCATAAAAACAGAGGTAAGCATATGTACCTGTGTGGTGGTAAGAGCAGCGGAGGTGAGAGGTGAGGGCAGATGGGTACCAGGAAAGACATTCATCCCTTTAATGCTATTTCCCTTGATCTCATCTCCCTCACACATTACAATCAAATGTTTCTGTTTCTCAGACAATCCAATTCCATTCCTTGCATACTCACCTCTCTCCCAGTTCCATGCCCTGAATACTTTTCAATCTTTTGTGTTTACTGCTCGAGTCTTGCGCACTCACCTCCGACCCTTGCACAGCTCTTTGCACCTTCCCATTTTGCACAAGCTTCTTTCAGTACACCTGCATCGCAGACCACTCACCTTCCACTCTCATCCCTCAGCCCCCCACCGCCCTACCAACACCTCTTCTCTTACCCGGGCGCACACTCCCCTTCCTCGGCCACTCCTCTCCCTCCGCCCCCCCGTCGCGCGCACACTCGCCCCGCCCCTGGGGACCCCAG